AAAAAAGCTGTCCTTTTATACTCAGATTTTAGACGTATGAACAAATTACGAAATAATTGTTGACAAGGTGGAGCTATGTGTTAGAGATCAATAATATTTACTTAGATTTTTTTAAATTTGTGTTTCTCTATAATTCATATATTCCCTTACATGTGAACTTCCGGCAATTTTTTAAAATCATTTTATTTTTTGTAAAATTTTTGTCAAATTATTTCTTCCCACATTTTTTAATTTAATTAATCTAAATTTTATTTAAATTTAGTATTTTTTAAATTTATTTAATTTTGAATTTGAATTCCCGCCAACTTTTAAACTTTGAATTCACGGCAAATTTTGATATTTGGAATTTTGAATAAATCCCCTTACATTTGTACTTCCGCTCTTTTTTTAAAATCATTTTAAATTTTTTGTAAAATTTTTCAAATTATATTTCTTCCCTCATTTTTTTATTTAATTAATCTAAATTTTATTTAAATTTAATATTTTTAAAAATTTTTTAATTTTGAAATTCCCTCCAAATTTTAAACTTCAAATTCTCGCCAAATTTTGAAATTTGGCATTTTGAAATAAATTACCTTACATTTGTACTTCCGCTCTTTTTTGCAAATCATTTTAAATTTTTTGTAAAATTTTATTTCTTCCTCTATTTTTTATTTAATTAATTATTTAAATTTTATTTAAATTTATATTTTTAAATTATGAAATCACCGCCAGTTTTTAAATTTTGAATTCCGGCCAATTTTTTAATTTTGAATTCCCGACAATTTTGAAATTTGGCATTTTGCCATAAATCCCCTTACATTTGTACTTCCGCTCTTTTTTTAAAATCATTTTAAATTTTTTGTAAAATTTTTCAAATTTTATTTCTTCCTGCATTTTTTATTTAATTAATAATTTTTTTTTAATTTTGAATTTCACACCAAATTTTTAAACTTTAAATTCCTGCCAAATTTTGAAATTTGGCATTTTGAATAAATCCCGTTACATTTGAACTACCGCCCTTTTTTAAAATCATTTTAAATTTTTCTCAAAATTTTTAAAAATTTTTATTACTATTTATTTAAATTATTTTTATTTAATTTTTAAATTTATTTTAATTTTTAAATCATTTACAAAATTTCAAAATTTTTAAATTTTTAAAATGCTCCAACCCATCCCCCAGAATGCACAGAGAAATTAGTTTATAATAAATTAACAGATTATTTTATTAAACTTAAGTAAATCTCTATGGCCGAATGGATAAGGTTCCCGCATATAAAAAACAGGACATTGAAGGTTCGATTCCGCTCGGAGATTTTATTTTTAATTTTATAAAAGCTTTTTATTAATCAAAAATATTACCCTTTTAAACTTTTTCATATTTTAATTATCAATTCCCACCCCTATCACTTACCAATCGCACCCTTTATACTTATTAATGAACCTAATCACCTCTCAATCATTCGAAACATTTCAATTAAATATTTCCCTTAAATCAACCCACATAGATAATTGAAAACCCAAAAATTCATCTCTTTATGATTTTACCGCATTTTCACCCATCCAAAACCTTCTGACTTCTTTTATTTTACCGCAATTCCAAATATTGTTTTAAAAATTTTTATTTTACCCTCCAAATGTTGCAACAGACCACCCAGACACCACAAACATCAAACCTGTCAATTCCCGCAAACTTCCACCAAAAAGCAATTAATCATTAATGATTAATTACCCTAATTAATCATGATTAATTACCCTTAAACCCTTCCAAAAACAAAGGGTTTGCGGCAAAGATCAAAAGAAAAATACCCCCTATAGCCTCAGGTTTGATTGACAGGTGATCAAATGGGGTGTAACGTTTGTAACGTTTGGGAGGGGCTTGCAAATGTTGCATTCAATTAATTAAAAAAAATCAAAGAGGTTCGATTTAAAAATATTTGGGGCAAAAATAAAATAATATACTGTCCAACACTAAATTTGACAAAAATTCAAGTTTCAATGTTCAATATGTTGTTTGTTTCGTAATTTTGGATTTTTTCTAAAAAATTCGCTTTCTTTCGGTGTTTTCCTTCTCTATAATATTAATTGGTAAAATTTAAAAATTACTTTTGAAATTTTTAAATAAAATTTTAATACAAATTAAAATTTTTTTGAGTACACAATTGTTTTAAATTATAAATTGAAAACTTGAATTTTTGTCAAATTTAGTGTTGGACAGTATATTATTTTATTTTTGCCCCAAATATTTTTAAATCGAACCTCTTTGATTTTTTTTAATTAATTGAATGCAACATTTGCGTTCATTTCGATTCCTTATCTTCTTAATTTTATTTAGTTCACAATATGCTACCATATTAAATTTCACATTATCTTAAAGAATTTAAATTTTTGTTTAAAATTTTATTCCTATTACAAGGATAGCCCAAGTTGTCTTAAATTTTGAGAGATTTGGTAATAAAATGAGCAACCCCTCTACTACACTCAACTTTCGTTATAAATTTTTAAGGACTCTCGTTTATATTCTATAATAAAAGTTGACTAAAATTGGGACTATCGCTCTGGCAACTCGCAGATCTGGGGTCACTACACCCGTTCTATTTGGTGTGTTCTATCTATTTATAGTAGCATTCAACTGTAGCTCTGTTGGTAAGTGTTTGAAAACCCCGAAGGGTGCTTGGATGCTTTTATTTAAGTAAATAATTAATTTTTAAAATTAATATTGTGTAAATACTGTATATGTATATGCCAAGAACCATATGCCAAGAACCATTTTCTCTCTTTCTATCTCAATTCCAAATTTGTCTTTACATTCTTTAATAAATGTATCCTCATTTTCTTTTCCTTCTATACCTTCAGGGAAACCACTCGCATGAATCTTCATTGCCATAAATTCTGCCACATAATTTTTAAATAAATTTTCATCCCATTTTTCATAATGAAGTGCTCTATAGAATTTTGTAACTGTATAACCAACTTTTAAAGCTTCTTCTAATTCTATTGAAGTACATGTTGAGACCCACCCTCTCTCTTCATCATTGTGAGGACATTGGTATTTTTTTATGTTTGCTCCATTCGGGTAGGCAAGTGCGCATTTTCTGCAGAGAGGAAAAAGTAATCTTTCATCAAATTTGACTGGAATAACAGGAACATTCAATGATGATGGCGGTACTAAAAATACTTTCAAAATTCCTTTGAATGGAATTTGGTCTCCACTCTTCCAATTAACATTCTGTTCTGCCAAAGGTACAACATGAATTTTCGGATGCCCAACCGGGAATGATGTTGTAGCAATTGTTGATGGATACAGCGAATTAAAGTCTAAATAAACCATTTTATGTTGTTCTGCGTCAGCGTCAAAGTACATTTGTAAAGGTCCTGTCCTTCCACCGAAATAGCAATCTCTAATTTTTATTGGACCTTTGTCATGATAATTTGCAAATGATTTTCGCATATTTTTGTTTCTTCGAAGCATCTTATGTATATCACATTCCCATATTATATCAACATTTTTTATATATTTTCGTATAATTTCCAAACGATTTCCATCACCTTCACGTATTTCTCCCACTGTTTTTCCGTTTGGTAAAATTTTGTTCAAGTCATTTCCGAAGCATTTTTCACATGCATGCCAAACACATCCATTTACCTCAATTGCCCTATCCTCTTCTTTAATATATCCATCAACCTTGTATCTCCCCGCTTGTATCTCCCCGCTATCAACCTTGTATCTCCCCGCTTGTATCTCCCCGCAAATTATAAATTGAAAACTTGAATTTTTGTCAAATTTAGTGTTGGACAGTATATTATTTTATTTTTGCCCCAAATATTTTTAAATCGAACCTCTTTGATTTTTTTTAATTAATTGAATGCAACATTTGCGTTCATTTCGATTCCTTATCTTCTTAATTTTATTTAGTTCACAATATGCTACCATATTAAATTTCACATTATCTTAAAGAATTTAAATTTTTGTTTAAAATTTTATTCCTATTACAAGGATAGCCCAAGTTGTCTTAAATTTTGAGAGATTTGGTAATAAAATGAGCAACCCCTCTACTACACTCAACTTTCGTTATAAATTTTTAAGGACTCTCGTTTATATTCTATAATAAAAGTTGACTAAAATTGGGACTATCGCTCTGGCAACTCGCAGATCTGGGGTCACTACACCCGTTCTATTTGGTGTGTTCTATCTATTTATAGTAGCATTCAACTGTAGCTCTGTTGGTAAGTGTTTGAAAACCCCGAAGGGTGCTTGGATGCTTTTATTTAAGTAAATAATTAATTTTTAAAATTAATATTGTGTAAATACTGTATATGCCAAAATAGATATCATGGCTAATTATTGCTTCAACCTCTCGCTGAATGGACTAATTAATCGAGAGGGGGCAATTATTTGAAAGAGGGTATTATCAAACTTACAATTAAGAATTCCATTGTTCTTTTTGATTCTAGCGTTATCAGATTTGGGTATAATCCAAATAAAAAGAATAAATAAAATAAAAATTGAAGATAAATTCATATGTAATTATTTAATTTTTAAAATTAATTTAATTTAAAATTAAGGATTTTTAGAAGCTAAATGAATTAAAAACTAATTCGTTGGCAAAAAAATATTTTTTTATAAACCTATTATGCCCGTACTCGTACTCTCGTACAGGCCTTATTTTTTTCTCGTACTCGTACACTGGTGAGAACTTTCCATTTGACTAGAAAAATTTATTAAATCTAACCCATACAGTATTGTCAAAATTTCAATTTGTTCTTAACTGTAGCTCCTACCATCTCTATTTTTAGACCAACACTCGATGATAATTATACACGTATTAGGACAGTCAACGCACTAGACAAGAATCTATACCACTGCCTATCAACTTCCCTTTTCCTGATATTTTCTACAATATTTTTCCCAAATCAAATTTAAATTTTCAGAAAAATTTAATCACCTTTAATTGACTTATCACAAAGAAAGAAAATATTTTTATAGAAGAAATATATACATAACAGACAAAATATTTTACTCAATTATGCTTATCTTTATGAAGAATATTTTTTAAATGATGCTTTTTGCCCTCTTCCTTTTTAATTTTTGGTTTTCTTTTTTTAATCATCTTTTTTAATTTATTAATAGGATGATGATTATTATTCTTATGCTTTTTCTCATTCCCATTGTGCTTGCCTTTAAGTTTCTTTAATGGATTATTGAGATGTTTTAGATGTTTAATGTGATGTTTAATGTGATGTTTAATGTGGTGATTATTCTGGTGATTAGCATGTTTTTGGTTGTTTTTGTGCTTATTTTTGTCATGTTTGTTTCTTCCAAATCTGTGCAGTTTTAACTTTTTCCCAATTTTCGTCTTCCAGGATGAAACCTCTCTGCATATTTTAGGCAAATCTTTTCTCTTTTTAAAATATCTGACAACGTGTTTAATGTGCTGCTCATTAGTAATATCATCTTCGTGTACTTTAAAAAACCGATCATTTTTCTTTTTCTGAAAATTGGAAGGATTCTTTCCTCATGAATTTTATTATACCCCAAACCTTTATAATTTTGTCTATTAGCTCATCACAGCATTCACGACGATTTTCTTGGTGTATGACATTAACTGAATGCCTTTCACAATAATCAACCATTTCTTTTGTTTTCTTAGCTAGAATTGAATTATTTAATCAAAAATTATCGTGTTATAATAATACAGTGATAAAGCAAGTGGTGAATGTTTGTGATTTTTTAAGTGAGGGAGAGGGGTGCCCACAGACCTGATCAACTCTCAATCTCTTCATAGGTACATCCCTCTCACCCTCCCAACATTATTCTACTTTGGACACGGTTACACCACGCTTTAGAGGGATGGTCCGATCAACCCTGAAGCTCTTCCTAAGTTATTTTAATAAGATCCCCTCCCAATATTCTTCTAGATTTTGAGTATGGTTACAGCACAGCTTAAGCCGGCTGTTCCAATGAAGAATAGAGAAAGGTCTACACATTTATTTTTTAAAATTCTTACAAATTCTTGCATCATTAAGCGGTAGAATCAAAACAAAAATACCAAATAAAATAAAAATAATAGATAAATTCATAATTATTTAATTTTGTTAACGATTTTTAAAAGCCAAAAGTCATTTAGAAATAAAAGCTATTCTTGTTCGGCAAAAAATTTTATTTAAAAACATCTGAATAAATAAAAGAGAAAATTAAGAAAAATTTAAATTTGGAAAGAGCGAGAAAAATTAAATCCTGTGACATTAAAATTTGAAGATAAAAAATGCTGAGGGTTGCTAATCGAGAGAAAATTGCGAATTTTTAGAAGTTTATTGAGAAATATTTCTCTATGTGTATATTGATTTTAAATTTTTAATTTAATAGTTTTCATTAGGGTTGGGGGTCCAGTTCATCGGAAAGACCGAGTCGGGCATCGAATTTTGGCCCGACATCGACATGGTCTGTTCCGATAAAAATGAGACTCGAAAAAAAATAACTTGAACGTCGGCACGACTCGAAAACGCCAACCTTAGTTTTAATGGAAAAAAATTTTTTTAAATAAAAAATGGAGACAATTTTTAAGAAAATTTATTTTAAATATCCCAATATTGTTCCTAAAAATGATTGTTTAAAAACGGAACGGATGCAAGACTCTCTTTGTGAGATAAATTAAAAGAATTTTTAAAATGCTTGACAAGGTTAGTTTAAGCATTCCTATCACGTGATCAATCTTCTCTCCAATCAATTTAATAATTATACTTTAAATTTTAAACAATAGAAAAAGAAGTTGATCAATAAAAGAATGATCAACTGCCAATCTCTCTATTGTTTAGAGAGAGATTGGCTTCCCCCCTGCTCCCTCCATTCTCGTGGCAGTTAGCAACAAATACAAATTTTGTCTTATTGCCAGCCTTCGCATAAAGGCATTTTTCTAAGTCCCATAGCCCAGAGGCAAATGGGTTGCTTTGGCGGTTTGGTGATTTTTGATTATTATTAAAAAGGAACTTAAATTGTCACTTTATGGCAATTGTCACCCATAAACTTGCTGCCAGTCTATGTGTTTATAAAAGTCCCATAACCCGCTTTTTTGTACTATGGACACCAATGGAATAGATAGAGGCTGCTTTGGCTGCTCACGCGCATCACATCCTGCTTCGATGATTCGGTGATCCTTTTTAAGCAGGATTTTAAATTATATCCTACGCAATGAAAATCAAACATTATAAAATTTATTTAAAAAATGTGTTTATAAAATTACAAAAAAAAATTTAAAATTATTTTTAAAAATTAATCACAACAAAGTTTCATGTCCGCTAAACAAAATACTTCTTACAAGTTCTCCTTTACCAAGACACATTTCTATACGTGTAGATTTACGACTTAAAGCGCCTATTGTTGCTGGAGTACTTGGCTATTAATTAACAAGATTGTTTTTAAAGTAAAAAATTCTTGTGGGAATTTCCTTTAATGAGAATGACAAATGATCCCATCTAGGGAAAACTGAAATTTTATAGGATCAAAAAATCCAAAGTGGAGTAATGAGGGCAATCAAACGAAGGACTCAATAAAGTGGCTAAACTTTACTTGAATCGAAACTTGATTCGATCTCATCTAGGAAAATTGAAGTTTTGAGAATCCAAGGACCTCTAAAGGAAGTTACGAGGTTAGTAAACGAGGGGCACAACTAAGGGGGAAATCTTCGGATATCTGATCCGATATCCCTTCCAAAATTTTCGAATATCCTATAATTCCTTAGATGTGCAACGAATCTTTTATTAAACTGTGAGAAACAAAAAAAAAATTCCTCATCTCTCGCTCTATTACCTGCGAACTAGAATCTTCCCTCTCTTCACTCAAACGCTCCAAATGGCTAAGAGGAGATGGGTAACTTCCACCAACAATATTTTGTCCAATAGAGGATCTTCTATAATAAGGGGGTAATGCTGGCTGTTGTTGCTGTGTTTCTTCAATATTATCCTCATCATCTTCTTCTTTAATCTGTCCAGCAGCACATTGGCCGTTTGGCGGGGAATGCCCATTTGGAGGATTTATTGAATCCCTCCTCATTTGCTGTATAGAAAAACGTTTGGCCAAGTGAAAGGGAGAAGCACTCTTTAGTGAGGGGATTGAAAGCCGCTTTTTGATGGATTCTGCATATGAGGCCCTCTTTTCGTCATGGGCGGTAGTGTGTAATGGAAGTGAAGATTCCAGCTTAAATTAAAAATTTAACAAATTTAATAGCTACTAGATTAAGGATAAAAAGCAGCTTTCCAAAAATTTATGTTAATCGGAGGTTAAAAAAGCTGTTAGTAAAATAACTAAGAAATTTCTGGATAAGGAGATAACGGATAAAAATTAAATAAGCATATTAAAAATGCTTACCGAAAATAATTGTCCACAGAATATATTGCTATTATCTGATTTGGAGCAGACAAACTTTAAAGCAAAAAATAAGGATAAGGTTAAAGCTTTAACAAATTTTAAACATTTTTTAAATTTATCCTTAAAATTAGTTTGAAATCTGTCCTTAGACAATTTTAAATTTTTTCGCTTTCTGACCATTTTGAAAAATATATATTTCGTTAAATTTACGCGCTTAGAAGTTTAAAAACAAATAAAGGAGAGAAAAGGGAGAAAGAAATAGATAAAGGAGGAAAAGAAAAAAATAAAAAAAGGAAGGAAATAGACAGAGAAATGCAAATAATTAGAGAGTGAATAAATAAGTATTGTTCTTTAGCCTTCTGTATTAACCATCTAAGAGTAACTCTTTTCCAAATCTTTTATTTTTGGTATTCTCCCAAACTTCATCCATGGACCGCTTCAGCGGACTATCTTCGGTAGAAGAATACTAGTAATAGTGCGCTTCGGTGGCTTAAGCTAGTGGGACGCTATTGGAAGGTAGACATCAGTGGCTGTGCGTTCTGGCAGCATTATTGGTGGCAGTGCGCTTCGGTGGCTCTGCCAATAGTGTTTGTGCGGAGGCAGTGCGCTGGTGACCATGAGAAAAATTTTGGAGTGTCCATGTGCCGTTTTGTACATGGGACCTGCCCCTTGCTCAGGGGGCTTTTTAATCTTGGTTCAAGAAGGTAGGGTCCTTAGAAATTGTGTTTATCTTATATTATTTTTAAGTGTTAACAAAAAATTTAAAAGCAAAGCAACTCAGTATTAACCAAAAAAATTTTTAATTTTAAAAAGCTTAAATAAAATTCAAAAAAACTTACAGAATTATACATTGGTTCAAAAACATTAATTAATTCAGTTCTCGGGTCAAGTCCACCAAAATCATCATTCATTCGAAAGGCACGTTTTAAAGTTAGAAAAACTTCTTTTCGGAGTGCCGGCTGGCAAATCAAATAAATGTTTGGACGAAAAGCACAGGCACACAAAACAAGGAAAGAAGTGAGATCAATTGAGATTAAGTAAAATCTGTTTGAAAAATTGAAAAAAAACTTTAGAAAAATTTTTTAATCGAGCCGGTTATTATTATAACTAAACATTGTGTTTTTTTGTTCTCCTCCTGGAGCTCGCCTCAAAAAATGGTCTTGGGGGGAAAATTTCTGAATCTCTGGTATAATACCCGTTCTATGTTATATATAGAATTAGTTTCAGGGCTGTAGTTTAGTCAAGGGGCTGTTCCGAATGAGTCGATTTAGTTATCCTTCGGATCCTCGAGCTGAGTCGTATGTGCCCCTCTAGGTGTCGAAATAGCTGTGGACAGAAATATGTATAGGGAAACGAAAACAATTGAAAACAGGCGGATATACGAATAGATCCAATTTCAGAGCGGTCCAGGACTAAATAAAATCCCATTTCAGTCACAAAAATAAACAAATATTATAACTGATATTAAGACATATTGTCTATATGATTATCCCAAGATAATCAACTACTAGGTATTTAAAATAATAATAAACTTACTGTAGATAATCAGACATAAGGGAATCCTTATCAATATGTTCCCATGTAGTAAGTCTAAAATTTAAATAACTTTTGAAATTTTTTAATAAATTTAAACTAACGCGACGCTAATAATGTTCGAAACAAGGTATGTACAAACAACCAAAATTGTTGTAATTGTTGCTGCTCTAGTTATTTTCTAGAAAAAAAATATTTTTAAGGGTTTTTCTAGGTCTCTATCTATTTTTCTCATTTTGTAATTTTCAAAAATTTTCCAAAATTTTCTCTAAAAATATTTTTTTCAACCTTTCTCTTAATTTGTTTAGCGGTAGCCGTAGATGAATTGAGCAGTTGGAACTGATAATTTTCTTTTTCATATCTTGCCAGAACGTGAATAATTTTAAAATTGAGAAATAAAAGTGCAAAGAATGGAAAGAAGATTGTTACAAAATTGCGGTAGTAGAAACGAAAATACTAAAAATATTTATTAGAAATTATGATTAATAAAAATCACCAAATGGTAGTCTGTGTCAAAAACAAAATCTGCAAATCCAATATCAATTTCTGACATTGTATCAGCACACTCATTTCGATAAGAGATCTGTTTTTAAGTTAAAAAATATTTATTTTCCAAAGATCAGAGTAAGGTATCACGCCGGACCTATGGGTTCTGGAGTGTTTGTGAGGGGGGAAGGCACGTTAACGTTCGGGGTCAACAAAGAATCTTTCAAAAGTCCTAAGTATCGAGGTATCCGTCACGAGCTCTTATCAAGGTTGGTCACTAATAGCTACTAGAAATCGAGCTGGACCTAGACCAAGGCCTGGGGTTTTCCTGTACCCAGAGTCCAGGTCCAGGCATTTTTTGACCTTCCTGGGGTTTTCTTGGACTACAGGCCCAGGATCCAGTCCAGGTCAAGAAATCAACTCCAGAGTCCATGAACAGGTCCAGGCTTTTCAAAAATCTGGATCTCTAATGGCTACCAAAAATAAGGCTATACAAAGCTCAGCCAAAGAAAATTTTTAAAATCATGAAACACCTTAAATTCCAAGCAAATAGTAACTTTAGACAGAATCCCCATCAGGATCGCAAATAAAATTACGTATTTTCTATTTCTTTGGATTACACGAATATATCTTGAATTTGCTGTTAAAAAGAAGCGTTCAATCGTTGCTGCAAGACTGTCATTGGAAAAAATTAATTATTCAATTTAATATTTAAAAAATACATTAGGAATGAGCCTGAAGTTATTGCACAATGAGAGACTGTAATCATCGGCACCATGTAATAATGCCTAAAATTCTTGTATGTATTTTTTGTGTAATTAAATCAACCACAAAGACACTTTATGAAATACTTATGCAGGGGGAGTTTAAGGATTTATAAACTTGTTTGTAGGGGGATATCAATGACTTGCTGCCTCAGGGACTCGATTGCCTCTCCACACGGAGCACCCCACTTGATTAAGGGTCTACAGCAAGGCAAAGGAACATTCAGGTAGAGGACTACACTAATGCAGCCCCCTCCTCCCATGACTACACTAATGCAGCCCCCTCCTCCCATGACTACACTAAGGCAGCCCCCAACAACCAACCCCCATCGAACCTGAATTTCCCGTTAAATGCAAGTTTGGGCATGTTAAAAATTTAATTTAAAAAATTCACCATATCCTAAATAGCGTTAATGACTGTAAAAAGTCCATCAAAACATTCATTGACATTAGAAAAATGTAAGAACTGCTAATAAGAATATCAAAAAGGGCAATAAACATCATATAACAATTGAAAGAGTGACGATGATGTTTGCGTGTTGAAAACAAATAAAAGAAAAAGGAATTCTCGAGAATAGAACAAAGTGCTATACTTGTGCCAATACATGTAACAATAACGAAGCGTAATTTAGTTAGTGGGGGTTCCTATTTAATAAAATACTTTATTTAGATTAGTAAAGTTGGGTGCAGGCCAATCTACCGCAAGCCCAACCTACCGCCGAGGGTATAACTTTGTTCAGAATTGTCGAATCCGGGAAGCCCTGGTATGGTTCGATGCGGCTCGAAGAACAGAACCAAAAGATACCAGGTTGTCTCGGATTTGACAATTCTAAACGAAGTTATAGCCTCAGCGTTAGGTTGGAGGTACCCAGTAAAGTTTAGTAAAATTTAATTTTTCGAAGGTATAGGTTTGTAAAAGGTTGTTAGATTTTAACCTAGATCCTGGGAAATCCAAATATCTGATCAAAAATTTTAGGATATCCAGCCTTTTTTCTAATACGGATCCGTTAAACCTATTGTTAGTTTTTGAGGCATTTTTTAAAAGAATCACTCATTTTCAAAAATTTCCGGGTTTAAATCCGGTAGCCACCAACCCTAGTTTATAATCTTAAGTTTGAATAGACTCATGTTTTACGATTACAAAAGTCCAAGTTTAAAGTTATCAAGTATTCAAAATTACATCATAAAGACATTTAGACATTGCACCACCCCCTTGAGCATCAGTGCCAAAGGTATCATTTATAATTGAATTTGAAGTAGAATTAACTGAATTATTTATAACGGCATTAGGATTACTGCCAATATTGCTGTCCTCGAATAAAAATAAAGAAGCTGTGTCAATAAGTGATTTAAAGGAGGAGGTTGTTGAAGAATGATGAAGTGAGGAAATGGTTGAAGGATTGTAAAAAATATTTTCTTCATTCATTCTAATATTTATTAAACTATAAATTTGAATTATTAGATCGTTTTAAAAATTATTAGATAGTCTTATACGACTTCTAATTAAGCTTGGCGTTTCCTGGGAAATCTCCGGATACTCGGAACTGATAACCGAACCGAAGATTTGGGTGTTCTGGAGGTTTTGGACGTCAACCTTAATTTTAATGGTAAATCCTACCCACGCTCATTTATGAAAACAAAAATATTTTGGTCTTTCCATTGTTAATTTTCTTATTTATTTATGAAACTAAGACAGGCTACAAAATAAGATCTGATTAAAATAGTTATCACTCAAAAAACACGCGATAATAAGAACGCATTAATTATGGAACGGCCTATATAATAATAGTTCAATAACGAATTGAGTTAACATCTTTTTAAGGGATTCTTAATAAGGATGGCGGTTATCCGAACCGAAGATTTGGATATCCGGGGTTTTTTAGGTTATGGATACCCGGAACCGCCAATTTTAATTCTTAAAGACTTTAACCTGAAGATATTCAAAATATGATGTAATAAAAAATATAACAAAGTAAATATTATCGAGAAATAACTAAAAAAGAAGCAAACAAACAAACAAAACAAAAAAGAATTCATTGAATTTAAAGAGTAAAAACTTTTTTACGAATAAAATTCAAAGAATAAGGAAATAAAAAAAAATAAAGCTTCTTCTCCATCAATAAAATTTTTTATTTGTTTATATTTTAAAGAAAAAACATTAATTCTATTGTTTTCTTTTATTCTTCAATTCAACAAGTTTATTGTTGCGATTGAATTTTTTTATTAAATTAAGATGCTTTTTCTTAGTAAATATTTTTTGTACTTTTTTTTTAATAGTAAAATAATTTTTAGAATAAAAAAATTAAATTGGCAATAATTTTTAGTTACAGTAAGAAAGAAATAAAAGATTAGTCCCGAGCAGGCATGATCTTGCGACTAATCTTGCGACCCCCTAACGGTTATTACTAGAATTTCACCGGGAGTTCCGGCTCTGGTTCCAGAACTCACATTGGATCAAGTTTCGGTTAAAATTTCAGGTCCGGTGAAACACTAGTTATTACTAGGGGCTTCACTCGCCTCGTACAGTGCTCCGCCGATTGAGCCCTTTACGTGGCGTTGCTTTAAGCTTCTCTTTTAGTAAATCTTAACTCCCATCTATTAAGAGGTGAGAGTTTAGACTAAAAATTCTCATATTTTGGGATCTTCTAGAAAATAGATTAAAGACTGATTATTGATAAAAAAATATTTTCAGAAAGAATCCTAAAAAATTTAAATTAAAAAATGGCCTTTAATAGCCCTCCATTTAATAAAAAATGTCATAATTTTAATGCTAATAATAAACTTTAAATGTTTGTCTAGTTAATTTGCATTTATAATGTATCTAGTTGAATAAAAAAGACTATCAATTTAAAAATAATTTGGATACATTTTTAAAAGTTTTTTTGACTTAAAAAAATTTTTTTAGAGTTACTAAATAAAAATAAATCATAAAAAAAATTTCTAAAATAAATTTAAAAATTAAAAAAAATTTTTTATAAAGCACTCAGATTTTTTAAGTTAATTATTTTCAGAACACGTTCCAGCTCAGTGAAAAATAATTTAAACAAAAATTTCTATTTAAAGTAGTCTAAATTTAAATAAAATTATTTTTAAAATGGAAGTATATTAAAAATATTTTTAGAATTTTTTCTAATTAAGGAAATTTAGGTGCAGAATAATTTTAAAAAATAAAAAAACGTCATTTTGAATTTTCTAAGATGAATAAAAAAAAATTTAAAAGAAGTTTTTTGATAAAATTTAAAAATCAAATAAAAATAAAATTGAATTGTTTTATTTTAACAAAAAAGGAAATATGAAACAATTTTTAAAAGAAAATTGAAATTAAAGAACAAGTATTTATGATGGATAAATATAGATTTGTAGAATAAAGTAGTTAAATTTGATTTAAAATTTTTTAGATAAAATAGATGGAAATATAGATTTTTTTCTAAAAATATTTTTCAGTGTATTCCAGGAAGGTCAACGTTGACGGATCCTAGGAAATCCTTGGATATTTGAAAATCTCTTGTTATTTGGATATCCAGATCTGGATATCCTACTCGAAATATTTTGATATTTGGGTCCAACATCAGACCCGAAATTTTTGGATATCAAGAAACCAGATTTATTCTAATAGGACCACTGTGGTTATCTTTTTCAACCCCACAAGTTTTGTGCTTATATTAGAGATTGTGGATCAAATAGATCCGGAACCGGATAATGCCAACAATAATATAGGTTTAATGCTTTAAGGTGCCATGAGCAACAATTTATTAACTTAACACTTACAGAAGCACAAAAAGCGATTTTATAAAAATAATTATTTTAAAAATTAAATAAAATTTTGTAACCATATTAAATTTATATTTAATTAAAAAATAGAGAATATTTAATTAAAAATGCTTTTTTCCAACAATCTATGGTCACACATCCCAAAAGAAAAAAATTTTTTTTTTTTAAATTTAATTAAAGACAATTTTGGCAACATTGTAAAAGAAATAATTAAAATAATGAGGAAGCTTTAGATTAAATTTTTAAGAAAAAAAGAGAAAAAATAAATTTAAGGCGTTAGGATAAGTAGCAGGAATGGGCAGGGGTACCCGAAACTCAATACCCAAAATCCAGTCTTTTTTAGATACTGACTTACTGGATCAAAAGTATAAAGACTCAGACAAACCTAATGGAATGGGCCGGATTACGGCCCCAAAAAATTTTGAAACCCCGACCCGAAACCCGGCCCATCCTGATAGATAGGACTGACTTTGTTTGAAAATCCCTTCCCCTGCAACTTTAAAAACCCCGTCTCCCCGTCTGGTGGCATCCCTACTGGCAGCGATTAAAAAAATTCAAATTTAGAGATTAAAAAATAACTCGATTGAAAGAATATTTTAAAAGAAAACAAGTAGACCAAATAAATAATTTGGCTGAGTGCCATCCCCAAAGGAAACGTTAATTTTTTGTTTTGTTAAAAAAAGCATGTAATAAAGCTATATAAAAATGCTAAAAATGCCCTTAAAAGATGCCCTTTCTGCTGGAGCGAATAAAAGAAAATTAATGGGAATAGCTTTGTGCTAGTCATGGAAGAAAGAATTTAAAAAATAAATCTGTAAAAAATATTTTTTTAATTAATTTAAAATTTGTCCGGTCAACTGAAGATGCTAGATGTCAAAAATAAAGTATAGTAAAGGTGAACATGGGTAAAGATATCTCGCACTCAGCTAAGGCATGAGGTTCAGTTGAACGGACTGAATGTGTACTTTTGCACATCGCCTCCTGCATAAATGTATGTAGAAATTAAATATGTGCTTCCTTAGCTAATGCAAAAGGTTAATAGCTGGAAGCGAACCAGCGTCCTTAATTGGCCGGACTGCTGGGTACTTTTGTACCACGTCGCCTCCTTCATGGATATAGGAATTAAATATGCGTCTTACATTATTAAATGAAAATGGAAGGATATAAGGTCCACTTAAAGGACAACAGAAAGATACTAAATCTTTCAAGGTGGTGGACTAAAAAAATTTCCCTCTTAACTAAATTCCCTCTAATAATTTTTAAATGAAGTGGTTTACATTAATATTTAGAAAATACTTTATTTTGTTCTTTTAAAGGATTTGTTTGCTTAAAATTCTAAAGAATTTCTTTTTCTAAAACTTTTTGAAATGTTTTTGAATTTTAGAGAATCCTTGAGGGAATTTTAAAAGTAAAAAATGTGTTTTACATTGATTTTGAGAGTAGTAGATTTATTTTAATGGAAAATTCAAACGTTTTTATTTTTGTTAAATTTAGAGAATATTATTTAAAAAATTAGAAAATACTTGAAAATTTCAGAAATTAAAAATTCATGTCGAACAATGCGTAAGATTTGATAGTTGTAAAAGGTTATTGGACCAATTAATTTTAATATAAAGAGAAAGGAGTAATTAAGAAGGGATTTTGGTGGATTATTAGTGGTATAGAGATTTGGATGGGTTTGGAAATTGGAAGGGATATCGAGGGATAGAATTTGGGGAAATAACACTCACATTTAACACTGAAGTCTAAAAGAATTTTATTCATGGTTGCAAAAATTTTTTTTGAACTCCTAGATGATTTTCTGACAGCCAGTATAGATGGGAAAATTTTTTACTTTCAGTAGGAATTTTCAAAAATCATAAAATACATCAAAAACCATTTAATTATAATTTTGGATTAACACCAAAATAATTTTAAATAATTTTTAAAAAATATTCTTTGCTTCTATTTTACTTCTATATAAACAATTTTGACAGCCTGAGGTTATAAAATTTAAAGAAATTTTGTTTGACAAGAAAAAGTTAATAAAATTCAACACATCAAACAGACCCTAGGGTGAAGATTAAAAATAAATGAACATGAAAGCAATAAAAAAAATAAAAAAAAAATAAATTTATGTAAATCCTATAGAGGGGAATGAACGTTTTGAGGGAAAGTAAATGAGGGAAATGTAACGGGAAATCATTTTATGCAAAAAAGAAAATTTGTGTTTTTGACGGAAAGGACAGAGGTACACTAGGTTTAAATGTACTAGCGTCATAGGAAGATAATAAATTTTGAAAAAAAAAATAAATAAAAAATAAATAAAAAATAAATTTTTTAGACAGGGAAATATTTTTAAAAAATTTAAGAATTATTAAAAAATAAATTAAAAAAATTTTTTTTCTTAATACCCTCCCAGTTTCCCAAAAAATATTTTTTCGTTCCTCAAAAACAGCCTGAAATAATCTCTTAAAAAAGCTTTTATTTAAAGCTGTTTTAGGAAAAGTTTTTTGAGTGTTTATTGGCAAAAAGTGTGTGTTTTGGCAAACATAAGTAGTTAATAATATTTATTTATAAACAAAATAATCTTTAATCCTAACGAGAATAAACACTTGAAAAAGATTGTTTTGCTTAAATTTGAAATTTTTTGTTTTAAAATATGTATACTGTTAGGGAACCAGTTAAAGTCCAAGGAATATTATAATAATAAAGTGCGTTTCAAAAATCCTAACACTTAAAAATATCCCTAACCCTTAAAAACGCCCGCTTTATTAGTACATATTAGGTGTTGGACCTATCGAAATTTATAAAGCAGAAGACGCAAGAAAATGAAAACGGAAGATGAAAGACGGAAGGTCCAAAAAAGGCAGGAAG